TTCCTGCTGCCAGTGCTCCTTTGACTCCAAGTGGTGAATCTTCAAACACAAGGCACTGGGAAACAAGAAGGTGAGGAGGAGGAGGAGAAAAAAACAGCGTTATTACAAACTCTTCACTGTTTGTTTTACCAAAGAAAGAGTGACCCTGCATACAGCTTAGCAGCAGAGCTAAATTCAATTCCTGGCTCACATACCTTTAATTAAAACAAGCATAAACCTCTCAGTTTGAACATCTGCATGGTAATTAACCTTAAATTCATTTCACTTCAAAAAAGCATCTATGCATATACTTAAATTCCTACAACTGGTCATCCAGATGCTCATAAGTGATTTGTTTTATCCGGATGAGTTTAAGCACAAGATTAAAACAGTTAAGCATATGCTTAAACACCTTGATAAGAAGGTAATTTAACCCTTCCAGATCAATTTTATCACTTGTCAAATGGCAAAAGCAGTGTCTTCACTTACAGGTGTGACATTTCTTAAATATGTGAGTGGGAGCAAGACTACAATATCTAGGCCAAGAGTAGGATTTGGGACAGAGTTAACTCTCAGAATAGTGCTGTCAGATTCATGTACTGTTTGCTTAATTTCTTTCAAAGCAATAGTGACAAAGAAAAGCACCAATTACACCACAGCGCTACTCTTAGAGGTAATTTGCCAAGAGAGGTTGTGGAGTCTCCTCTGGAGATCTTCAAAACCCGCTTGGATGCAGTCCTGCACCACATGCTCTAGGTGACCCTGCGTGTACAGGGGGTTGGACTAGATGACCTCTAGAGGTCCCTTCCAACCTTAAGCATTCTATGATTCTATGGTGCTATGATTTGCATATTTCAGATTGGGTTACAGACGTAGAGTGAGCACTTTTTTTTTTTTTTTTTTTTTAATGGTCAGTAGCCATTAATGTGGAAGATAAAAATTTGCTTTGCTTCATAAAGAGTAAAAAAGACATCATCAAACATATATGGTAAGAAAATAGTTCAAAGGCAGCAAAAGCTAAGGATCAACATAAATAAATGAAATAGGCCACAAAGTAAATCAATGAAATGTGCCAAACAGCTGAAGTCAGCCACCCACTGATTTGTGTGTGAAAACATAAGTTCCTCAAAATCTTACAAGCACAAAAACTTTCAACTGGATTTGCAGCAACTTATGTAAAAGCAGGTAGACCATCCAGTCTGATCTTCTATATAATATGAGATGAATCTTCTGGAATTCATTCCTGCATAAATAAGGCATCTCTTCTTGACATCACACAGTCTGAAGTTTGAATTTTTGGCCACAAATAACCCAGAGAAACCTTTGACATTGCCAAGCATTGGAAAATTCTCACCCACAATGGTTTCCAAACCCTCTGCTGTTTTGACTGAAGTTATTATCATATTATCATTTATTAGCTGTGCTACTATGATTAATATTAAAATTATTAAACACAAGTCATTTAGATAATTCAAAGCAGGTTTGGAATGGTGTGTACAGGTTTCCCCACACACTTCAGCCAGCGCAGCTTAGCTTTGCCTTATCACACATCTCTCTCTCTCATGCATTAGGTTCTTTGCTACTGTCACTACGTACGAGTTAAATCCCTTCCTGCACACTCAAGATTCTTTTCCTTTCTTCCACAACACAATAGACATGGCAACTAATAGTCATGCACATAACAGTAAGGATGCTTAGCTTTTAACTTTTGATTGAATCCAGATGTGAAGCAGTAGAAGAAAATACAGCAGAATAGCATATATTTTAGGTTCCCAAACACATAACTCTTTCATCAGGAAAGATTAGCAATGCACATAGTTTACCTGCTTTGGCTGTGCTCTAACAGAACAACGCTGTAACCTGTTAAAATTTTATTTTATTCAAAGAGAACATTTTTGCAAGACATATTTAAGAGTGCACTATGTACACATATTTATACTGCAGACTGTAGAACAGAAATTAGAATGTATCTTCCTTCCTATTTTCTTTTCTTTTCAAAATGTCCATCAATATCTCAACTTGGAGCCACTCATGGGAAAGCAAGAGGTCCTTTCTACCTTCCATTTAATAAAGTAAACCTTACCTAGCGATTTTTAGAGAGCAATGGAAGAGACTAATCTCTCTCGTGCCTTTACTCAGTTTACTCAGTTGCTAATTTACATTTTTCTATGCACTCTGGTTTGAACGTTGACATTTTCAATCTGTTGATTATTATCACTGCTCCTAACTACAAGCACACATCCAGCTGATCCTGCAGCAGGATTCTGCCTCCTGTTTTGTTCTTAAAAACGTACAGCTTTGTGACCCAAATCCCTGGTCCCTAAGCTCTCTGTGCATTCCGAAACAGTAAATGAAACCCTGGCACGCTCTGCCTTTTCAAGAATAAGCTTAAGTGTTGCACAAACTGCATTATCATCAAGGCTTTTCAGAAACTTTTTCTAATCCACCCTGTGCAAGGAAATGCACTTCACCGTTCTGCCTTGAAAAAACTAATTGACTTCCGTGAAGTCACCAAGCTTGCTGTTGGACAGAAGCTGATGATTATGGCAGGCAATATGCATAATGAAAAGCTTAACTAATTCCCTGGAACTAGAAGCAATTAAAACTCTTAATTACCAAAGAAGCCAGGCAAATGACCCATAATTATAGTGCCTTTAATGTTACAAGAAATAAGTGTACTAGGTCTTCTTCCAGGCTTTCTTGCTACTGACACTTATTGTCAACAGCACAGCAACATTTTTAATGGATGACGAAAGGTTTACAAAGGTCACATACAAAATGGATTTATTAACTTGGCTGCACAGAGATGTTAGAAACTGTCCATTGCCCTGGCCCACCCACATACTAAATTTAGAGATATGAAAGCAGCCAAGTTCTTCCCTGCTTTGCATAAACAGTGCAACATCAGCATCACTTCAATTGAGAGAGACAGATGAGATTTATACAGACTTCAGCTGTGAGATTTTGGCATTCTTTCTAAAACTTGTGGCACTGATCAATACTGCTACTGTGAAATCTTTTAGAGGGTAACACTGTGGTAGGACAATTTTTACTCTGGATTGAAGTAGATGCTTAAAACTAAACAAATTAATAAAAGCACACTAATTTACAATTCATTCTAAATATTTATAAAAAATGACAGTTTCACTTAAGAAAAATATAATGATATTTTGATATTAAAACCTTGAAAAACACGTACAGATAAAATGAATGGGCTGGAGGTAAGGGAATCCTTATCACAGAATCACAGAATGGCTGAGGTTGGAAGGGACCTCTAGAGATCATCTAGTCCAATCCCCCTGCTCAAGCAGGGACACCCAGAGCACATGATACAGGGCTGCATCCAGGTGGGTTTTGAAGATCTCCAAAGAAGGAGACTCCACAACCCCTCTGGGCAGCCTTATCAAACAAATATCTTTGATTATATATGACATCATATCAATACTCAAATTGGGGAAGAATGAAACTAAAGAGGGCATCATTTATACACAGGTGGCTTGCTTACAAACTAAACACTACCATCTATTTCTCTTTAAAGATTTCTGTATTTCAGGGATAAAAAATAGCCTGTTTGCAGGTTCTGGTCTCAGTTTGATCTCATGATCTCTTAGACTCTTGATCTCATAGAACTCAAAATATTTGCAGACACTGGGACTAAAACATACATGTAAGCACTTTACATTTAAACCAGGGTCTTTCTGGTAAGAGTATCGAGTATTTCATTTTACTCTCATAAAAAAAGAGAGCAGAACAAAAATTCCATACTTGTTAATTCCAGGTTTCTATATTATATTTATTCTTTTAATTAATTTGCATTTACTATATGCTCCATGGGAAATAACCACGGTGGAAATTGACAGGAAAACATTCAAGATTTTATTTTTCCTGCTATCAATTACCCTTGTCTTTCCCTGTGAGCTGTTCAAACTGATACCACTGTGGGTTATTTTTTCACACTGGGAAAACGCTACCTCAAAGATCTTCTATACTATTGAGTCTTAGAGCCAAATTAACATTAACCTGCCTTCTGAGGGCTTAATATTAGAAAGACTCTTCCTGCATCCATAAAATCCATTTCAAAACCATGGCAGGTCCTGGGGAAAAAAAAAGGTACTAAAAGAAAAAAGAGGGAAAAAATTAATAATTCCTACTGAATAAAAGCAAAAAAAAAGTAGAATTATGAGGCTTCATAGATTGGAAAAGAAAAATAATAATGAAATTTCAAAACACATAATCTAAATTAAATGTTGCTAATCTAAAGCCTAAATGGGGAGTAGCCTTGCAGAGGTCCCATTGAAAAGCTGGATAAAGTGGAAGAGATGATTTCCCCCTCATTAATCATAACCTGTTGTTGCTGGTCCTCCTTCTCCCTTCTCCCCCCAGTAGGTCTGGAACATGAATAAATGATGGTAGCCACAGCTAGAAAAACGTTTAGAGCAAATGAATCAGGGAGAAAATCTGAAATCAGAGGTTAGACCTTTGAGAGGTTATCCCACATCTCTTCTCAACTTCTGAACAGGATTAGCCTCCTGCACTTGGTGATAAGGTACAGGAGAGGATTATTACATCTTCTGTCCTCAAATGACACAGAAACAAAAGGCACCAGCATGCAACATGTTACATTTGGTGCATCTTATGGATTCCATCTTATACTTCTGCAACCTCACTGTTTATCAAAAAGGGTTATTCCCCTTCATTATCAAAGCAGTGAAGCAACAAAGACAAATGCTCATTGTAAATTTACAGTCTGGAAACATTTTCTACCATAACCTGCCCTGTATATTCTGCAATTTCTCCTTAAAATACCTTAATTCAAAAGTTACTTGACTGGAAAAAAATGTTCAGACAACATTATGGTCACCAAAATTTTATTTATTTATTTATTTATTTCTTCTATGGAGATCTCTGCATGATCCTACTATTGCACTAAACCTTAGAAGACAATTCACCTTACAACTTTATCTGTGTGCTTTCCATTGGTTTCACAGAGTCTACTGGAGACATTCTAAATGCAGATACTGTGGCTTTCAAGTACCTACGTGTACCCATACCTTTGAGCCAAAAATACGTATGACC